TTTAAGTGAAAATACATTAAATCACAAGACAGATCATGTGCAGTTTATATATAATTCTACCTTGTAAAACATTGAATTATGTATGTAAGCATGTGTGTGTGCATGTATTTGTGTAAAATTTGTTTCATGTATATGAGAAAGATGGAATGACTGAAAGTATACATCAAAATATTGGATAAAAGTGGTTAATACTGGGGGATAGTTATAATGGAGTATTTAGGATATGAATAATTTTTTTCTTTTTCTAAATTTTCAAATTTCTGATGAATGAATTTCTTTAAAATCAACAATTAAAAAATGTTTTTAAAATGAAAAACAAAAACATCTTTTGTCTCCTCTATTTTAGATGAAGTATCTAGCCCTTAGTTTTTCTGTTCTGCTCCTTTCCACTTATTAATATCATCTATGGCTTTACAAGTTGACAGAGAATATATAGTTTTATGTGATACATATTTGCTGTAGAATAAATATATTTGCATTGTTTTAAAGTCTTTTAAAATATTTAGAAATTCTGAATTCTTTAATGTTAAATGCTGGACTTCTTCCAACATTATTTTACTTATTGGTGTATTTGTTTATTTTAAATTTATTTTTAATTATGAAGAATTTCAAACCTGTAGAGAAAGACAGACAACACGTTGATGAATATCTTTAGAGCACCACCCAGCTTTAGCAAATCTCCTTTGGTTACAACTACTTTATGTGTTAAAAGAATAAATCATTATTGATACAAGTACTGAATACACCAGATCTCCATTGTACCTCACACTGCCCAGAAGTATTCACCATTGTTGTGAATTTACTGTGAATCATATTTGTCTATTTTAGGAAATTTACTAAATCTTTATGGAGCCATAGTGGTCTATTTTTTGCATATTTTAATCCTTTGTATATATTTTATCATAATGTATTTAATACTTTGAAATGTGTGGGTTTTTACATTTTAATTTGTCAATATAAAATGTAGTTAATTTTTATGTTCCTTTACTAATACTTCCCTTTCCTCCCACCTCTACTCCTTTCCCA